TTGGGGTAGCGCTGCACCAGGGCAGCTAGAGGCAGGGTCAGGCATAGCGGACCGAGTCAAGCAGCGACATAGCTGCTTTGGGTTGTCTTTCGGGCGGCAGGGCAGCATCATAGCTGCCTTCCAGTAGTCCGCCATGACCTATGCTTGAAAGAGGAGGTTGAAGGAAGGAAGACATAGCCATGGTGGACTTGTTATTGTTGTTGTTGGGTTGTGAGTTGAGTCAGCAGTAAAGGGGGAACTTCGGACATTGATTCTGGTTCATTCATTCATTGTTATTATTATCATTGAGAAAAGAATAGGATTGGTGAAAAGGAGGAAGGAGGAAGGTGGAGAGTGAAGGGGGAATTATCATTGGTCTTGCTGGTGTACTTCTTCTTCTTCTTCATCTTCTTATTCTTCTTTACCTCTCCTCTGGTCTTTATCTCTTTGCAAATACTTTAATTTTTTCGCAATTGGGTGGCATTGTCTTTCATTGTGAATTTGCACTTGGAAAATGATCAAGATCGTAACAATTGGTATCGGAGCGGACTTACTTGCTTGGGAGAGGTGTTAGTTACCCTAACCCTAATTCCGAATTAGGTTAAGGCTGACCTAATCTCGGATTAGGGTTGGGAAGTTAGGGTTAAGTGGGGCAGCGAGGTATGGGGATGTTGCCCCCACCTGGTTAGGTAATGTAGGGTCGACATTGGACCCAACCAGGTTGCTTGAGTGAATGTATGGGGTGGCGAGACACAAAGGAGGCTGTTTGGAGTAAGTGAGAGGGAGTAGAAAGTGAGAGGTACTCACACTTGGATTCTGGACTTCAGGAAGACATTGAGTGACTTTTGGGCTTCCCCTCAAGAGGGAGACTTGATCGGCAGCTGTCATACCTGCATCGGATTGCTGCAAGTTGTTACTTTGGTCTTCAGGCATCGACGGGGGATCCGGCTTTGCAACAGGGGTGTAGGAAGGCCCTCTTAGTCATGCTAGGACACTTCGTGTAGTGGTAGCTAGGGATCAGGAGGACTTTATGAGAGGGGAGTGACTCGTAATCCATCTTTGGAGGTTGGGCCTCACAGGTAAGTGCCGTGTGAGCTGGGAAAGCCCGTGGGAGGTTGCTTGGTGCTTCATGGTCTGTTGGGGGTGTGCTGGGCTCTCATCCTCTTCTCTGCGGTCTTGGTTGTGTGTATGAGCTTGTGGATTGCTTTCTCACCTGATGGACGGATGGATGATGTATCTACTCTAAATGACATATATTTCTACGGTGCATTGTCTTTTCATTTGTGAACGGCTGTAGAAGTGAGTTCTTGCTGAAAGTTGTCTTTTCCTTTTCAGTACAGTAGAGGCAGTTTGGGACCGACTTGGCACCCCTATCACGTTGGTCCTGGTCCACGGCCTACTTGGGACCCCTCGGGACCAAATGGGACCAGGCCCAATGGGACAGGACCTTTTGGGCCCAGATCTATTGCCGCCAGTGCATTTCTTTGCTGTGCTGGAATTGGGGGACATACGGACAGCAAGGGCATTCCTTTCAAGGGGATCTTGACTGGCCTTACCGCATGTTMGCACATACTGCCCCGCGTCTGACTCGGCGACCATCTGCACCCCTCGAAATCTCCATTGCTGTAGTCAGTTTTCTTCAGCTGATTTATTGCATTGCAGTTCCCTGTCAGGTTAGACAAGAGGGGATCTCCAGCTGATCTGATCGGGCCCGTTCTATAAATCAGACCTCTCTGGCTGTTTTGTTTTATTTATTTTTATTTTATTCTTCTGCTGCGTGCCACGTTCTCAGTCCAAATGATTCGCCGCTCCGGCCAGGAGTTCTACCTTCTTCTTTGAGTGGTTTCCTGTTTGTTTCTTCTATCTGAATTATCTATGTCCGATATCGAGACGAGTGTGCAGACAGCGAAAAGAGAGGAAAGGGAGAGAGAAGGTGTGTTGTTTGAGAGTGTGAGAAGGGGCGAGAGGAGTGTTCGTCTAAACGTCAGGAGAGAGCGGACCCCTCTTGAGAGTTCTACTGACACCCCTTCCTCCGGCATGGTGAACATCACATCTGCCCAATGGCAGGCCATGCTGGATACAGTGGACGAGAGCCAGAAACCATTCTTTCAAAAATTGTATGATGATGTCGTGCAGAGAGAAAGGGAGGCAGCGGCAACAGCTAGAGCCGCCGACATTGCTGATCAGGTGGCTCTCCTCCGGATCTCGGAAGCTAATGCTGACCGGTTCCGAGAGGAACTAGCTGCTGCTGTAGCAGCCTTGGTCCGACTGCGGACCTTGGAACTTTCGTATGACAGCACTTGAGCAGCGGAACGAAGAGCTGCAGGCTAAGGTAATTAGCCTTGAACAGTCCCAACTGTCTGCCTCCCGCCCTCCTAACCCTCGATCTGCAGTAATCCCAGTCTCTCAGCCCAACACAACCCTTGTTCCAAGGGCCTGCGGAACTGCGGTAAGTGCAGGAACCGGAGCAAGCTCCTCAAGCGGCAGCACCGGTAGTTCTGCACTGATCGCAGTCCCAAGTGCAGGCACTTCAACCCAAAACGCCACAGTCCTTATTGGCGTTCAGTACAGCGGTCCCATGGTGGACAAGCGGGCGCCCACGCTGCCGTCCAAGTACGACGGGAAGGCTGACATCACCTCTTGGATTAGTTCCATGCGGTCATACTTCGAGGTCATGCGGACACCGCAAGAGGACCGAAGTATGATCATGGGAACTAATACCGAGCCTGCCGTACGAAACCACATTGAGCTCCAAGTTGTTGTTGCACGCTATGCACGCATAGACCTGACTGATTGGCTGAAGGTCACCCTTGTTCGCACCCTTGAGGATCTTCTCCTTGACTGGTATCAGGATGAACATGCTGCGCTCAAGGCTAGACTGAAGCTTGAGGCCCTCAAGGGCCAAACATGGAGGTCATCCATGCAGGCTTTGGAACAGCACCTGACTGGTCTATTCACCACTCCGGATCTAGGAATGACTGACGTGTCTTGCATGGATGTAGTCATGGGAGTGACCCCTAAAGAATACCTCTCCCTGCTAGCACTCAAGGACCATGCTACCTGGCGAGAGCTCATGAAGGACCTCGTCGACCTAGAGGCCAAGGACCTCGCCAGGCGCAAGAAGGCGCCCGTTGCAGGTGGGAAACCACACCGCAAGTGGTTTGGAGGCAGCAACCAGCTTGCACTGCATGATCATTGGGAGGCTGACGATCAGTCCTATACGGATGATCTGCCTCTAGATGACGATCTAGAGCCGGACTCCGATACGGGCTGTTCCACATCAGCCATTGAGTGTGACCGAAAAGATGACGAAAAACTTAATGCATTTAGAAAGACTGCTTCAAATAAGGGGCCTAACCGTGGTTCAGGTAAGGGAACTATCTTACACCTTCCCAAAAATGCTAAGATCCCTGAGAAACCGGAGGACGCTTCTACCAAGCCTTGGGAAGCCCTCCGCACCAGCCAAAAAGAATGGGAAAGAAGGTCCAATCTGCGCGTATGCTTGCATTGTTCAAAGCCTGGGCATGTTGTGCAGGATTGCTATCGTCTTCAAGGAAACACGCAAGGGGCGTAGAGGAGACATCAGCACTCTCTACAACAAGAGAAGCTGAGTTGTCAGTTGCAGGCCCCACCGAGGAGCCTGGATCTGATCAGCAGCGTGCTCTTGAAGCCCAAACTAACGCTGATTCCAAGGCTGAGACAGTCCAAGTGTTATAAACTGAGCCTTGGGAGGAGTCTAAAGAGGTCRACCTCCACGCCCACATGGAGCATTGGCTGCAACTCAAGCAGCAACGCCGTGTCCAAGGGAGCGTGGAGCTGACTTTCTTTAAATTGCTCATTAACCGCCGATACATCCGCATGCTGATTGACAGTGGTTSGACCACTAACTTCTTCTCTCCGAACGGGATTCGTAAGGCGGGCCTGGGTATGAAGCAAGTGGAACTGCAGAACCCTTGCCGGACTCAGGTGGGCAACCAAGAGGTTGTCACTTCCACTTATGTTGTCAAAGGTGTGCGCATCACCTTTGACAAAGACCGCACTGTCACACACGAGCTGAATTTCTATGTCTTGGACAAGTGTCCTTTCGACGCGGTCATAGGTTTGGGCTGGCTAAAGGCTCATTGCCTAGGGACCACGTGGGCGGACAATTAGTTTGTGGTACTTGATGCCAAGGGGAACGAGCGTACCGTCTTACTAGATGAGACGCGCGAGTCCCCTGTGACTCTTCTGAGTGCTAACAAATTCTGCAGGTCAGTGCGCATGCGCAAGGAAGCTGGGTTTGTACATATAGCTCTTGTAAAGCCTTTCCATGTGCCTTCTACTTTTGCTGCATTTTCTACCTCTGAAGGTAACTCTACCTCTACTACTTCTACTTTTGTTCCACCTACTTCTGCTGTAAATGATCGATCTAGTGCGGAACCAAATATTTCGAAACCGGTTGTAATTGCTGTAAATTCCCAATCTGATTTTCTCTCCCCTGATGAGGATGATCCTCCACTAAAAATCCCAGCGAACATTCGCCATCTGTTAGTTCGATTTCCTGAGGTATTGGCTGAGCCCCGCGGAGTTCCCGAGCGTCCAGTCAAGCACAGAAATCGAGATAATAGAGGGAAGTGCTCCTCCAAAGGGATGCGTCTACCGTATGGGACAAGGAGAGTTGGAGGAGCTGCGGAGACAAATTGATGACATGATTGATCGTGGATGGATTAGGCCTAGCGAGTCTGAGTTTGGCGCACCTGTTTTGTTTGTGCCGAAGAAAGGAGACAAACTCCGGATGTGCATTGGTTATCATGGTTTGAGCCGAATCACAAGGAAGAATGCCTACCCTTTGCCTCGTATAGATGATCTGTTGGATGCGGCCGGTGGATGCAAAGTCTTCTCTAAGATCGACCTCAAGTCTGGCTACCACCAGATTGAAGTTGATCCGAGCGACCAGCACAAAACTGCGTTCAAGACTCGTGATGGGCTGTACGAATTCATCGTTATGCCCTTCGGCCTTACGAACGCACCAGCCACATTTCAGTCCCTCATGGACAAGGTCCTCCGCCACCAACTTAACAGGTTTGTGGTTGTGTATTTTGATGACATTCTGATTTTCAGCAAGTCCATGGAGGAGCACGTCAAGCATCTCGAGGAGGTTTTGCAAGTCCTCAAAGATGATCAACTGCACCTCAACTTGGAGAAATCTGAGTTTGGTAGGGACAGCGTTATCTACCTTGGGCACCGGTTGTCTGCAAGCGGTCTTGAGCCGGAGGCAACCAAGGTTGAGGTCATCCGCAACTGGCCTCAACCAGCGAATGTACGCGAGCTGCGTTCTTTGCTTGGTTTGGCTTCTTACTACCGGAAGTTTGTGCCTAAGTTCTCTGTCATTGCTCACCCACTCTCGCGCCTGACTAGCAAGAATGTTGCCTATGCGTGGTGTGAAAAGTGTGAGACTGCGTTCCAAGCCTTGAAAGAGGTTTTGGTGAGTCCTCCTGTGCTCCGCATTGCGGATCCCAACCTCACGTTCGTAGTCACTACGGACGCGAGCCAGTTTGGGATTGGTGCAGTGCTGCAACAAGATGATGGCGATGGTCTGCGTCCGCTTAAATATTACAGCAAACGCATGCCCAGCCACAAGGTAGCCACTTCCACATACATGCGRGAGCTCTACGCCTTGCGCGAGGCGTTCACGCATTGGAAGCACTACCTCTTGGGTCGCCACTTCAAGGTCTATTCAGATCATCAGACCTTGCAATGGATTAAGACACAAACTGATCTCTCTCCAACTCTGACCCGCTGGCTGCATGACATTGATGTTTTCAACTTTGAACTAAAACATAAGAAAGGCTGCTATAATCGTGTTGCTGATGCTCTGTCGCGCCATCCTCAGTATTTGACTTGCCTTGTGGACTCGTACGACCTCCGGAGGAAACTGAAGGAGGATCTGGTCGAGCACACTGCCAAGGATCCGGACCTTACTCCCATCCTTGAGCAGCTCAAGGCTGACCCCAACAGTCAGCCTGATTTTCATGAATGCGAGGGTCTTGTATTTCGCCGGTACGGAAAGTTTGACCATTTGTGTGTACCCAACCATGCGCCTCTCCGAACTCACTTCTTGGATCTGGCGCACGGTCGGAGTGGACATTTTGGCTTTGAGAAGACTTATGGAAGTCTTCTGCAACAATTTGACTGGCCAGGAATAAAAGGATCTGCTCAGAAATTTATTGTTGAATGTAAAGTATGCCAAAGGATCAAGGTTCACAGGCATAAGCCTTATGGCCTACTGAGACCTCTTCCCATTCCCAATGGACCCGGCGAGTCGATCTCCATCGACTTCACGAACATGGGAAAGGTGAGTGAGGCTGGGAATTCACAAGTCATGGTCACTGTGGACCGCTTCTCCAAATTTCTGAACTTGATTCCTCTCCCTCCTCACGCCCCGACTGAACTTGTCATAGAAGAATTCCATCAGCAGTACATTCTGCAATCCGGCGTCCCGAAAACTATTGTGAGTGATCGGGACACAAGATTCATCAGCAAAGATTGGAAAGACTTCACATCTCAGATCTACGACATCAAACTGAACAGGACTTCTAGTCGACACCCCGAAGCCAACGGATTGGCTGAGGAGATCAACTAGACTGTCATCCAATTGCTTCGCGCACTAATTGTTCCAAATCAGAACACGTGGGACAAGGAATTGCACAAAGTGAAGGGGCTGTACAACAACTTCATTCACTTTGCGACTGGTGTGACACCAAACCAATTGCAGTATGGATGGCCGATGCGTAATCCCCTCTCCTATCTGTTCCCTGAACGGTCACCTGGTCTGATGCCCGGCATGCCTGGCTACAATGCCAAGTACGCACGCTTGCTCAAAGCTGCTACATCAGCTATGAACAAGCGCCAGCATGCCATGATCAAACATGCCAATAAGCGGCGCAAAGAAGAAAAGTTCAAAGTAGGGGATTATGTTTGGGTCAAAATGTCTGAGTTTTCTGATGAAGAGGGCATATCACGGAAGCTTCTTCCACTGTACTACGGCCCTTGGCAGATTCTGAAGGTATTCGGGGATGATTTTGGTCCTTCGTATATGATTAGCGTGCCTCCTCATCTGCGCACGTATCCAGTCTTCCATACCTCCAAACTGTTCCCACACATTGATGATGAGACTTTTCCCTTCCGTGATCCTATGATACCTCGCCCTATTGAGGGCGGTCATGAGATTGACAGAATCGTTTCTCACGAGGGGAGAGGAAGGAACATACAGTACAAAGTTTATTTCCTCTACCACTCGTTGAACGAATTCTTCTGGATCGACCGGAAAGAACTGGTAAAGAGTGCTCCACGTGTTGTGAACGCATATGAACGACAGATTGTTGACGGACAGATCACTAAGTTTGCTGCAAAACTCACTCCGCTCGGACTCACTAACACTCTCTTTTTGATCTATGCCTATGACGCCTTCTGTGCCGACTCTGACTGAGTTACTCGCTCGAACGGACCTCGCTCTCGAGAGGGGAGTAATGTAATGACCCGCCCAAAACACAGACTGAGCACACTGCTGATTTATGGGATTTGCCAATTGAATGAATGCCTTGCTGTGATTCCCGCATTCTGTTGTGGTCCAAAGTCTATGTGTGTGCGTGCCTGCTGGTTTGCATCCCTGTCTGAGTGCTTGCCGGATTTGTGTGTGTGCGTGCCTGCTGGGTTGCATGCCTGTTTGAGTGCTTGCTGGTTGGGTATGTGTGTGACCCACCAGGGTACTTGTTGGTTGCAAGCCCACCGGGCCGGTACTTACCTGTGGCCGTGACTTTG